TTTTACTGCGGAGAAAATCTCTTTATCTCAGCGTTCACAAAATCCTTCTTTTTTCTTTTTTTTTTTTTTCTCTCCCCAGGAGCAGCAGCTGTGACTTTCTTTTTTTTTCTCTTCCTCCATCTTCTTTTCCCTCAATAAAATGCTTTTTCAGCCTCTGGTTAACAGTTTTTCATACACCTCCTTCTCTCATGCTTTTGCACTTGTCCTGTATTTCTTTAACATTTTCCCCCGCAGCTGCAGATTTTCAGATTTTGGTGTCATGGGGTGTTGATCCACCCTTGTTTGTTACCATGCTTTGGTGTGTCCAGGTAGGTGCCATTACCCTGCTACAGCTGACGTCTTCTGGGCAGATTTCTGTGAATTATCTGAAAGGAATATGAGAGTGAGTTGTAATCAAGTGCTGCCTGGCAGGATCTCAAACCCCTTAGGCATAAATGTTACAGCAGATGCTGTGTAGCTTCTGCTTTGGAACATGCTCGAGCTCCCTCAGCCACAGGGAGACATTTCTTCCATAAAATACAGACAGGAGGTGTTTGCTCTTTGCGCTGAAGATCTCAACATTTAAGAGAGATTTATTCAGTATGCGTTGCCTTTTCTTGTTTATTCCTGGTGTTCCCAGCTGTGAATTCCTCAGCAACAGGAGAGCAAACTCAGCAAAACCTGGTTTTACTCATGTTTTTTGTGCTTCTTGGCCAAACGTAAAGAACTCTCCATGTGGCAGAGGCTACACTTGCTGAGTTTTAGGTTCTGTAGATAATAATAACTAATAAAAAGGTACGTAATTGATAAAAACAAAAGATAATAAATTATTAATGATAATGGATAGTAAGTAATAGCTCAGAGAGATGAGCACTCACCAGCACTGTTCTTTGTGTGCCTGGGTAAATTCTCACTGCTATAACCCTGAAATTTTTTTCCCCTTTCATTTATAATTTTTTTCTAACATTAGGATTCTCCTTTCTAAAGATCAGTGCCTCTTTATGACAGTGCTGTTTATATCCACAACCTCTCCTACACTAATATTTCAAAGCAGGGGGATTGGCCTGGACTAAAAGTCAAATAAAGGGAAGGAATAAAGGGAATAAAAAAGGGAAAGGGAGTTTCTTAAAGGGAAGGAATTTCTTAAGGATGTGTTTTTCTGAGGCAAAACTGCTCCCCAGGGATGTGAAGCGAGCCACTTGCTGTCCCTGAAGGTGACAGCAGAAGGGATGAGGGACTGGGGCTCCCAGCTCTGCTGTGAGAGCCCAGACACTTGTGGGTTCTCCAGCCTGAGCAGGAGTAGACAACAAAGGGGTGTTGAGCTGCCTGGGAAGCACTTGAAAATCCCCCTCTGCCCCAAACAATTTGTCATTATGGGCCGGGAGGAACTCCTGAGTGACCATGTGCAGCAGAAGAGCTTGATGAGGCTGGAGGGCTGCTGGTGTTTGGGCTGTGATGCCCAGAAGGGAAACAGCAAGGCTGGATGAGAGCCTGGAGGAGCCACAGCCCAGGTGTGGACAGGCAGGGCTGCCGCCTCCTCCTCCTCCTCCTCCTCGTCCAGGCACTCGGCCGTGGCTGGGGCAGGAGGGCTCCTCAGGGCAGGGGAAGCCCTTTCTCCCTCAGCCCTGCACATGTGCCATTGTCCCCGCGAACAATGGGGAGAGAAGGCAGCGCTGGAGCTGGTGACACAAACCCCAGGGCAGGAGCAGCTGGCGGCTGCTCAAGGGAAGCTCTGTGTGTGCAGGCACAGCCGCTGCCCTGCCAGCACTGCCCGGGTCCCAGCCAGGGCTCCCGACAGCCTCAGGGTAGGACCGAGCCCTGTGCAGTGCTAGAAAGGGGTAAAAAATGCCTTTATTTATGGAATTATGGGATATCCTGAGCTGGGAGGGTCATTGAGTTCCCTCAGCACAGCTCCAACAGTCCCACCCTGTGCATCCCTGAGAGCAGCGTCCAAATGCTCCCAGAACTCTGGGACCATTCCCTGGGGAGCCTGGGCAGTGCCCCACCACCATCCTTTCCTGATATCCAACCTAAATCTCCACTGGCACAGCTCCAGCCATTCCTGCACCTCCTGTCCCTGGTCATCAAAGAGCAGAGAGATTGGTGCTGCCCCTCAGGAGGAAGTTGTGGACTACATTTAACTCTGGACTGGATTTAACCTGCCTCTCTCCAGTGTTTGGGGCTTCCCAGCACTGGGAGACCCTGCAGGCAGCTGCTTCCTGTGGTTCCTCTGTGGTGCTATCCCTAGGAACCTGTGTGGTGAGAGTTAGCCACCCTGGCCTAATGGTTCCCTCATAAATAAGGAATGTTAATAAATGCTTTCTATTCCTTAAGGCCCAGCAGATAGGAGGAGAATAATCAAGGATGCTGTTTCCACTTTCTGTAACTTGCATTAGTCATCTCTCCTGAGACAGAGGGGAAAGCGTGGCTGGGGATGGGCAGCAGAAATGATGCTGTGCTCTTCTCCTCTTTCTGTCCAGCACCTCCTCGAGGCCCCCAGCTTCTCCTTTCTGACATGAGAAAGTTCCCTAAAACAAAGTGGCTTAAGGTTTATCAGAGCATCAGTTCCCTCTTGTGGCTTCCTGTGTCAGTCCCACAAGTACTCCCCATTTTGAAGGAAGTGAGGGTGGTGGTGTCGCAAGTGTTCAGCAGGTGGCAGGGGGGAGTTTCACCATCTGAAGTGACACCTTTTCCCAATTCTAGCCCTGTCCATGTTCACTCCCCTCCAAAGAGCCGGTAGGATGTGGCACCTTGCAGAGAGCTCGGAATGAAGGCCCTGTGGCCACTGACCCTGCAGGTAAGGTCTGCAAACTGAGCCAGGAGTTACCTGCCAGACCTGCCCGGCTCAGCTGGCAGAAATGCCTCTCCTGCCCACAGGGATGAGTCTCGCCCACAGCTCAGCAGAGATCAGGTTTGCAGGGCACGGTGCAGAAAGCAGCTCTCCCAAAAAAACC